CCCCCAGCACATCCCATTCTGAGTCCTCCCCCCTCCCTCCCAAATCTAGAAAGGCCACTGGGGCAAATGCTGAAACCTACATGTCCCTAGCACGCAGCCACTCCAGCTCAGCCTCCTGACAAACCCTCCCAACAACCTTGTGACATAGGCATAACCACCTCACTTTACCAATGAGAAACTGGAGGCTCAGAGAGGTAGATTTGGCTCAGGTCACACAGTAGATTCAGCCCAGCTCTGCTGGCTCAGAAGACCTTTTTTCCACTAGAGAAGCACTAGTGAATGCCTCTCCTGGCGCCCACTCCCGTGTACCCTTTGCAGCCACCAAGTCCTCTCCCACCTCCTTGATGTGCAGGAAGTCCTTGGGCTCAAAGGTAATGGCCACTCCCTGTACAGGCACCTCATCCCCCGGAGACGGGTTGTAGCCAACATTTGTCCGCACAGCAAATGCCACCGGCTTGGTCTAGAGAAGACACACAGGGGAGGATGGCAACCAGAGGGTTAAACCAATGTAACATATGACGTCCTGACTGGGGGTGGTGGCTACATGGTTGTGTGCTTTGTAAATTGCTTATGAAAATGTTTGTGTGAGTTGGGCCTGGTGACTGAAGCCTGTAATCCCAGCCCCCTGGAAGGCTGAGATGAGAGGATTGTCTGAGTCCAAGGGTTCGAGACCAGCCCAGGCAACTTGGGGAGAATTTGTCTCTACACTAAATCAAAAAAATTAGCCGGGTGTGGTGGCGCATGCCTGCAGTCCCAGCGACTTGGAAGGCAGAGGTGGAAGGATCACCGGATCCCAGCAGGTTGAGGCTACAGTGGCCATGAGCGTGCCACTGCACTCCAGTCTGGGCAACAGAGTGAGACTCCAACTCAAAATAATAATAATAATAATAATAATAATAATAATAATAATAAAATGTTTGTGTGGTTTTCTGTATGTATGTTAACTTTTACAATAAAAAAAAGGAATTAAAAAAACGCAGCTGGGTTCGGTGGCTCAGCCTGTAATCCCGCGCCTTTGGGAGGCGGAGGTGAGTGGATTGCCTGAGCCTGTGGGTTTGAGACCCGCCTGAGCAACTTGGCAAGACCTCATCTCTACAATAAATAAAAAAAATTAGCCGGGCGTGGTAGCGCGCGCCTGTAGTTCCAGCTACTTAGAAGGCTGAGGTGGAAGGATTGCCAGAGCCCAGCAGGTAGAGGCTGAGGTGGCCAGGAGCGGCCATTGCACTCCAGCCTGGGTGACAGAGTGAGACTCCAACTAAAAAAAAAAAAAACAAAAAAAACATGTTCAGCACTCTCAGGGTAGAGGGAGGCATTGAGGAATTGTGAGGATGGTGGTAGGGGAACTCAGGGTGATATCCAAAACATTAATAACAATAATAACAACAGTAGTTACCATTTAGAGGGCCCGGTACTATGTTACAAGTTTCACATGGATTCACTCATCTATTTATTTTTCTTTTTCCCCCTTATCTCATTTATTCATCACAAAAAATCCTATGAAGTTAACAGTATGATTATCTTCATTTTCATGAATGAGACTGAAGTTCAGAAAAGTTAAGTGACTCACCTAAGATCACTTGGTGGCTTATGCCCGTAATCTCAGTATTTTGGGAGGCAGAGGCGAGAGGTTTGCCTGAGCCCAAGGGTTCAGCCTGGGCAACACGTCGAGACCTCATCGCTACATTAAATAAAAAAATTAGCTGGGCATGGTGGTGCATGCCTGTAGTTCCAGTTATTTGGAAGGCTGAACTGGAAGAATTGCCTGAGCCCAGCAGGTTGAGGCTGCGGTGGCCGTGAGCATGCCACTGCATTCCAGCCTGGGCAACAGGGTGAGACTCCTACTCGAAAAAAAAAAAAAAAAGTCACACAGCTATTAAGAGTCAGGACTGGGATCACAGCCCAGGAAGCCTGATTCCAGGAAGTGGTGGAGATTGTCAGCACTTGACAGGCCCCTCTGATGGCTGGAGACAGTACCAGACTCTTATTCTATTGCATAAGGAGGCAAGTGCTACAGCCCTCATTGTGCAGATGAAGGACAGACAGCAGGCTTAGGGTCCACAGCTAGCAGGTAGCCAGGCCAAGACTTGACCCTGGATATGTCCAGGCGCTCTCTGAGGCTGGGGCAATAATGCCAGTACAGCCCTTCCCCTCAACTTTCTCACCTTGGCTTTCTCGAGCTGAGCCAACGCCTGGCGTTCTGCCTCCTTCCTTAAGGCTTCCCGGTCCTCCTCCAGAGAGACATCGGAGTCTGATGGACGGCTGGTGTAGGACTCCGCCGAGCCCTGAAAACAAAGCCAGCTTAGCTGGGCATAGTGGCTCACGCCTATAATCCCAGCACTTTGGGAAGTAGAGGTAGAGGACGACCTGAGTTCAGGGCTTCAAGACACCAGCCTGAACAACATGGTGAGATCTCATCTCTACAATAAATCAAAAAATCAGTTGGGCATGGTGGCATACGCCTGTGGTTCCAGCTACTTAGAAGGCTAAGGTGGAAGGATCACCTGAGCCCAGCAGGTCGAGGCTGTGGTGGCCATGAGCATGCCACTACACTCCAGACTGGGTGACAGAGTGAGACTATGACTCAAAAAAAAGAAAGAAAACAGAGCCAGCTCAGAGCCAGCACCGCCTTCCCCAACTCCCAGGCCTAGGAAGGCACAGAGGTGCCAGGGCACCTCCAGCCCCAGCCAGCCCACTATGATGCCACCAGGGCTAAGAAAAGGTAGCATTATGTGGAAGGAGTCCTGAGCTGAGATTTGTGGGCCCTTGGGAAAAGTATGGCCCTAGGGAGGGTGACAGCAGCAAGCAGCAGGATAAGGCAGGCCCAAGGACAGCTGCCTGGGGCCCAGGGAGGGGTAGGAACCTGATAGGGCCTACAGGAGGGAGGAATGCCAGGGGCTGATCTCTACTCCCGCCTTCCCTCCCCTGCCTCTGCACCCGACAAGACAGACTCAGTGAAGGTCTGACGTTGTCCCTTCCGGAATGGCAGCCACCAGCTCGGTCCTGAACTGTCACACTATTGGCCGTGGGTTGCTACTTGGCGTGAGGGGCTACCCCAAACATTGCTATCGTCTGCTCAAGGGTGGCAGGAGAAAGCTCCTTACCCCCGCTCCTCTGGTTGGTACTAACAGGATCAGACCTCCTCATCAGGCTCTCACAAGACCCAAGATGACTGAAGATCTTGGTAGTGCAGACAGAAGAGGCAGGCTAAGAGCAGATATGGAGCAGCCTCGTCCCCACACCAGGACTGCGGGTGCCAGGCTCAGAAGTCTGGGAGTGCCAGGAAGCTGACTTTGACCACACTGACCAACCCAGAGCACAAGGAGCTCTTTCCGTGAGACACACATGTGCAAGACGCAGGTAGCCCATGCAGACCTGGCAGTGGAATGCACATGCTCGTCCATGCATGTGCGCAGACATGCAGGAGTGCTCTCTAGTCTGCATGGCAGAGTGGGTTCAGCTATGCAAGTGGACCTGGGGGGCGTCCTGGAGTCTGTGTCCCCAGGGCAGGGGGCATGTGAGGGCAGGAGCCTGGAGCTGTGGATCTGTGTGACCACGAGGGAGAGGCGATAGGCAAGGAGTGGGAGGTAACTGGGGGAGAGCAGAACTACAGAGAAGTGGGATCTTTCCTTAGGGCATAAAAGGGTCCCTTGGTCAGGAACATCCATTAGCCGGGCATGGAGGGGATACGGGAAAGTCCCACCCCTCCCCAGAGGCCCTCGGTCATTAGCTGGTGCAGTCGCCTGTCCCCTTCCCGGCCAAATCATGAACATGTATAAAGCCAGGTACGGTGGTTCACGACTGTAATACCAGCACTTTGGGAGGTGGAAGCAACAGAATTGCCTGGGTCCAGGAATTCAAGACCAGACAGGTCAACATGGCAAGATTGCATCTCTAAAATAATTTTAAAAATTAGCCGTGTGTGGTGGCGCGTGCTGGTAGTCCCAGCTACTCAGGAAGCTGAGGGGGAAGGATTGCCTGAGTCCAGGAGGTCGAGGCTGCAGTAGCTGTGAACATACCATTGCACTCTAGTCTGGGTAACAGAGTGAGACTCTGACTCAAAAAAAAGAAGGAAAGAAAGAAAAAGAAAATGAGAGAATCGTGGGGGGAGGGTTGGGCAGGGGTGGGAGTCACTAACAGAAGGGACATGAGTAGGGAACGTGAGAACTGCTCTCCAGCTTCCCACCGGGAGCACTGGAGTCAGAGCACCAGATGCCCAGAGAGCCAGGGAAATAGATGTAGAGACGGCCTGGTGCAGAGGTACTCACGGACCCCAACCTGCAGACACACACCCCCCAGAACAGCAAGAGAGAGGCAGCGAGGCGGTGGGCTGGGGTGAAGGCCCCCTCCGCAGCTTCCCCCAGCAGCTGTTTTCCCCTCCGCCACCCTGCTCCGTCCCCAGCTCACCACCACCAGGGTCCGGCTGGGCGCCTCCATCCCAGCGCCCTCAGTGCCTGGCCCTGCAGGCCCAGGGGGTGGCCCAAACTGCCTGTTCCCCTGGGGGCTCAGGTTACAGGCAGAGTTGCTACGTGTGCAAACTACCCGGGTATATTTAGCTCGGAGATGTGGCAAGGACTGCCCCCCCACTCCCTGCCACCTGTGGGGCGTCAGAACCGGGGAGCCAAGAGGAGGAAGAGCTGGAGGCTGGGGTCTGACCCCTGGGCTGGTAAACACCACTGCCAAGGGGGATAACAAAAGCACAGTGTCATTCTTCTTAGCCCTGGCCCAGTTTTGCAAAAGGAAGGCTGAGGGAGCGCTTTGAGGAAGAACTTCCTGTCTGTATGTATGTTCAGGAAACTGGAACGAAGGTCCCCTTTCCTGAACCTTCCAAGTCAGGCCTAGGCTCACACGTGCCATGCGTTGCTGAGACAGGAGAATAAAAAAGAAGGGCTTTCCTGCAACCTGGGGTGCACTTGCCTGGCATCACTCTCTCTCTCACAGTCCAAGGTGGGACTCGCCTCCAGGGTGTCCCCCTGGCCTCTGCCCTGCCCTGCCCATTTCCTCTTCCATGTACCCTTTTCCTCATCTAATCCCAATCACCCCCCCCCCCCGCCTTTTTTGGGTACCAGGCTTTGTTGAGATGCTCTGTAGTCATGGCAACCACATGCCTCTCTCACAGCCTCTCCCTGAACCTAAGATGGCCCAGGGCTGAGAGCTGGAGGAGAGAGGAGAGTGGCAGCTTCCTGACCCAGCAGAGGAGAGCCCAGAAAGCTATTCTCAGTGTCCCTTCTCCCTTAGGGGGTGCTGGTCTTTAGGGGTGCTGACCTGAAGTCCTCTCTCAAGTCAAGGACCTCATGCCTCAACTGCCTCTGCCCCCCCCACCCGCTCCCTGCACACTTTCTCTCTGCTAATTAAACAGTCATGTCTATTTGTGAGGAGTGTGTTTCCCTGCCCAGTACCTAACCAGGGTGACAGGGACCCAAATGTCCTCGCTCTTCATTTCCTAGGACCTGCCTCCACCCCACCCCATCACAGATTCTGGGGGAGGACATGGAAGCAGACAGCCGGCAGGGGGAGTGGGTGACAGCCCGAAGCAAGCTAGAAGGAGGCAGGCCAGGCTGTCCCTGAATGAGATGACGCAGGCAGGCAGCAGGCTGGTGCCTGGTGCTGGGGGAGGAGCTGGGCGGGGGTGGGGGCTGAGGAGTGGGTGCAGCTGACAGCACATCCAGGAGAGGTCCTGGGATGTCAGGGTGATGGGGTGGTTCCAGGCAGGTGACAGATGACATGGGGAAGGCAGCCTGGAAAAAGCCGCAGACCCAGCTCAGTGATGCTGGCGTCCACCCACCAGCCACCTCCCTCCTCTGAGCCCAGCCTCCCCATACCTGGCGGACAAAGCTGTTGGACGTCGTATCTGAGGACGTGCTTCCATCTGACCTTTTGAACCGCCCCTTCCTCTTGCTGTATTTGCCCTGGAAAAGTCGGGAAGGAACAAGAGGGGAATCAGAAAGGCCCTTTCCCAGCCCTCATCCCATGGGCCCAGCTACAGCCAAACCTTGGCAATATCATTCCCTGAGGGAGCAGCCCCGCCCCCACCCGGCATCCTCCTCCTCCAGAGGTGGTACAGCCCGAGGGGAGGGAAGGTCTCCCATCTTCACGGAGAGGACCCAGCCCGGCCAGGAGTGAGGGCCAGGGCAACAGAGCCCTAAGAGGTCTACACAGAAACTCCCAAGCCAAGCCAGAGAGGCTGGGAAGGGGGAGGTGCTGAGAGCCAGAGGCTCATTAGCAGCAGAGCTAATTAAGATGCCGGGCAGGCTGCAGAGGCCTCCAAGGGAGGGAGAGGCTGCCTGCAGTGCTGGGGGGCGGAGAGCGCCGGGAAAGTCCCCCTCCGCCTCCCCCTCGGTGGAGCAGAGCGGGGCTGAGTGTGCCGGTGGCCCCCAGGAGAGAAGGCAGTGCCAACCCGGCGCCCAGCCTGGTTTCTCCCCTGCGCCCAACTCTTCCCCTCGCTTTCACAGAGTGGGGAGGGGATGGCAGTTCTGAGCTCTTGGAAATCCACAGCTAGATTTCTGGGGAGGGAAGAGGGAACATGGAACTGTATTTGGAAAGTAAACATCCAATCCCAACCCTGGCCTGGCGCCATGGAGACAGATTCTGCTCCCCACCCTCTTACCCCCTGCGCTGGTGGGACTTTTTCTCAGCCCCTCTCCTCACAATCACAGTAGCCCCACCCCTCCCCAAGGGGTCAAAAGGGATGAAGCTTCCACCCTCTAGCCCCCAGCTGTCACTGCCCACGCCCGTCCCCATGGTACCCACCAGGCTACGTCAATCTACATGGCCCTCGGCCCCGCCCCGCGCTGAGCCTGGGACAGGGCCCCACAGGTCCCTGGGGGTAGGCTGGCTCAGTCACACTGACCGGGCTCCTGGCTTGGGCAGATGCTGCCTGACCACACATTCGGGTTAAGGGCTTCCGGCACTTCCAGGCCTCCTGGGAAGGGAGCTGCTTCCTGTCTCCCCACCTCTCTACCTCTCTCTACATCTCTCTCTCTCTCTCTCTCTCTCTCTCTCTCTCTCTCACACACACACACACACACGCACACACACACACACACTTCGCCCTAGCCCAGTCCAGAAAGGGGGAGTGGCTGCGGGTTAGACCCCAAGCCCCTGACCCCAGCCTCCATCCTGGACCTTCTTTAGCTAAAGAACCTGGAGGAGCCTGGAGGAGCCAGGCTCTGGCTCCTGGGACCTGGGAACAAGGAGAAAGGAAGATGGGAGAGGAGGGCACCTGTGGCCCCTTCAAGGATTCCTCATCCCCTCCTCCTCCCTCACCAGACATATACCCAAACTCCAGTTTGCAGACTCCCTACAGACCTAAGCGAATCCTCCAGTGGGCCCCAGACTCTCTCACATCCCCCCACCAGGCTGGGCAAAGGGAGTGGCGCTCAGAGGGACAGGGGACAGCTGAAAGGAAGGCCCAGTCAGCTGCCTCCTGTGCTCCTAGGGGCCTGGGGTGGAGGAAGGAGGTATTTTTAGGTCTGACCTGACCCCCTCTCTACAAACCCATCAACCGCATTACCGTGGTGCTGAAGTTGCTCCAGGCTGGCCACTGCAATAAGAGTTAATGCTATACTAGGAGCGTCCCAAAGAAATCCCCTGGCACTACCACTCCCACCTGCCAGGGAGCTCACCACGCCCAAGAATGGCCTTCCTGGAGGTAACCCAGGGGCATAAGGAAAGTGAGTGGGGGTGGGGCAGTGCACCCCCCCCTCAGGTAAAACAGCGTTTTCCCCTCCGGACACTGAGTTGGCATCCATCCAACTTTCCAAACTTTGGAGGCGTTTTCGGGCGGGGGGAGGGGCAGGCCAACGAGGGTGTGGGGGGAGGGG